TCAAACCTACTAAGGGGCGTCGTTTCTTGGCCGGTTTCTTGAAGCACTTTTAATTAGTGGCACTTTTGAGTAGTTTTTTATTTCAACAAAAGAAAAATTTTATTGTCACTTTTAAGAAAATTTGTTTCAAAAAGTATTTTTGATCTACTTATGTAACACTTTTATTTAGTGGCACTTTTGAGTAGTTTTTTATTTCAACAAAAAAAAATTTTATTGTCACTTTTAAGAAAAATTGTTTCAAAAAACAAATATTTTTGATCTACTTATGTAGCACTTCAGTTTGCTGTACCTTTGATGATAGTTCAGGTAATGTATCCTTCGTTAGTTGTTTTTGCAGAATTGTTAGTTCTCTTAATTGTGGAAGATATTCAATTTCAGAATTGTTTATCCGCTTAGATGGCTTAATTTCAGGTGTTGAAATTCCTATGCTCGTATATGCTGATTTGAGCAGACTTGTTATGACTTGGTGTCCTTGAATAAGAACCGTGTTATCTCTGATGACACAATTTGATGCAATTTTTACCATGCCGGTACTATTTAGTATCACTGGAAATGCATTCGAACCGCATACTGCATTGAGTTGCATCGGATATTTGGTAGCGTATATCCAGTGATTTTTGTGTTTCAGCTGAGTCCAAATGGTAGTTTCCTTTAATTCAACTATTTCGCAATCGTCACCTGTTCCATTATTGTACAAATTGATTTCACACTTGCACACATTTGCTCTACGACGATAAATAGATTGAACATTTGAGCAAAGGTATGAGTCCTCTTCAGTTGCAATACACGATTGCAGTGCTAATTTTGTTGTGGGGAAGTATTCATCCTTGTGAGAATTGATAGCCAGATATTCTGTTGATGGCTGTATTGACGTTAATACCTTGGTCGCGCTAGAGATCACAGGTACTACATGAAATATTTCAAAGGTTTTTCGTTCAACGAGTGGTATCATAATATTAAATATTACATGGTCACTTGATACCTGCCCAGTTACTTGCATCAGCTTATAAAGAGTTAATATATCATCTTGCTCTACTGGAAATTGTAAATGAGACGGTAAATGTGCTCGGATTTTTTCTCCTTCCGTTATTAACTGTTGCGGCGTAATTAGAAGCGGGTTAATTTTTTCGTGATGACTATCAATAAGAACATCCATGATTGTGGATTGCGTACGTTGCAAATTTATCGTGGCGATTGTCATTTGGATGGTCAGCATATTAATAATATTGCCATATAATTGGTCATGTTCGTCCTTAACTAATCTTTTGGAGATCGCGTTTAATTGAGTCTCCATACCCTGGAAATTATTTTTGAGACTTATCTGGTTTTTTTTTATAACGTTAATTGTGGAGTCAATTATTGATATTTGATTTTTGAGCAGATGTTTGAGTTTGTCATCATGATCTTCTAGGGTTTTGATCGTCTTCGACATGTCACTTGCATAATTGGAATCGAGTACTCCAAACAGGGAACTTGCTATATTCCCAACTGAATCGATTGCCCCTCTCTTATTTCGGGCGCTTGACATAAATTCAAATGCTGTTCTTAATTCAATTTCTGCTTGCTGAAAATGATGAACCACAAACTTGCATGTTGAGTTTAAGTTGCTTTGATCACATAGCTTCAAAAGATTCAACGTTGAATCCTTTAGTATGTCCAGCTCTGTATTAAATGGAGCTAAATCGTAATAGATTATCATTTTCCAGTGGGATTTTATCAATTTTGTTGTTCCTACTTGTTCAAAATGTATGCCAGGAGCGGAGCGAAGTTCAGTTACGTTTACTAGTGAACAAAGAACAATCGGGAGTAAAAGTAGAGATATCAGTACTGTAGTTAATTTTATATTGGAGGACACACGTCTTTGTTTTCGTGGGACTATCTCATTGTCCATTCGTTTTTCTTTGTTATGGTGATTCTCCTGTGTTTTAATAGGTTTGTTTTCAGGAAATAAGGGTGCTAGTTTGTGAATTGGTCGCTTTAACATGCCTGTTGCGGTTTTGACATCTACGACTCGTATAAATCCGTCATTACCCTTATATGTCTTCATTATTCGCCCTAAAGGCCATTGCAAAGGTTGTACATTATCTTCCTTAAGGATCAACAGCATATTTTCTTCAATGTTTTTGCATTCTTCACGCCACTTGTTTCGAACCTGTAGTTCCATTAGGTACTCTGCCCGTCATCTTTTCCAAAACTCTTGTTTTAAGTGTGCAACCAGATTCCATCTAGTCAAAAGAGATGTTTTTACCTTTTCACATGTTGCGTCTACGGGTGCTGTTAGTGCATCACCAACTAAGAAATGACCTGGTGTGAGAGCCTGCAAATCATTTGGATTAGACGACATTGGTGTTAAAGGTCGTGAGTTTAAAATAGCTTCTATTTCTATAATGACGGTTTCGAGTTCCTCGTACGTTAACGTTTCAGTTGAAACGCTTCGGACCAATAGGTACTTTGCTGATTTAACCGCTGCTTCCCATAGTCCACCAAAATGAGGTGCACGAGGAGGGATGAAGTGAAATGCCAATCCTTTGTTGCTGCAAGTTTTTGTTATTTGTTCCTGAGCTACATTGGAATGGATTGTTGTTGTTAATTCCTGCAACTTGTTAGAGGCACCGACAAAATTCGTTGCATTGTCACAGTATATATTTTGGCAGCATCCACGTCGTGCGATAAAACGTTTTAATGATCCGATAAATGCTTCTGTTGTCAAGTCGCTTACCAGTTCCAAGTGTACTGCCTTTGTCGCAAAACAACAATAAACTGCTAGGTATGCCTTATGCGGACGTTTTCCTCTCACCTTATATTGCACCCAAAAAGGCCCACAGAAGTCAACTCCGGTATTAAAAAATGGCCTGTTTGACTGTACTCGATGCCTTGGTAAACTTCCCATGACTTGTTCAAAAGTAATTGGTTTACATCTAGTACAAAGAACGCAATGGTGAATAGTTGATCTTGCCATAATTTTACCCTTGATCGGCCAAAATTTTTGTCTCGCTGCTGCCAGCAGTGCTTGACCGCCGCAGTGCATATTTCGTTCATGTATGTCCTTCATTATCAGTTTTACAATAGGGTTATTGTATGGAAGGACTATCTGGTGCTTTTCATCATATGTAAGTGATGATGCTTCTAACCTTCCCCCCACGCGAATTATCTTGTGTTCATCTAAAAATGGCATCAGTCCAGCAAGTGTACTTGCAGGTTTTACTGTGTGGTTGCGTTCTAACTGATTTAATTCTTCTTTTAGTTCTGACTGTTGTATGTATTTCACTATATGCCTGAGTGACAGTTCCAGTTCCATAGGGTTTAGAGCCATAGTGATATTGCTTAAATTGGTTCGCCTTGCCCGATTTACAAATCGCAGCATATATCCCACCGTATGTAGTAGAGTTCTGAATGAATTCCTGTCATTGATTCTATCGATCCAATGGATATCGTAATCAGTTGAGATTAAGGCCACTTCCCTTGTCGTTTGTTTCCATTCAGGATTCACCGGATCAATACAGAGAGTTTTATTGAATTCGCCAGGCCAGTTGCTTTCGGAACCATGAAGAAAGAGTGGACCGTATAACCGTAAGTTATTTTCGAGTAATTGAGCTGGCTTGATACCCCGTGATAATGAGTCAGCTGGGTTGTCCTTAGATCTTACGTGACGCCATTGATTAGGCAAGCTAATTTCCTGAATTGCATTGATTCTATTTGCTATGAATTGTTGATGCCTTGCTGATGAAGAATTGATCCAGAAGAGAACGATTTCTGAATCAGTCCAATAATATGTTGCTACATCATGATTTATATTGTTCTTATCCTTTTTCATCAATGTCGCTCCTAATAGAGCTGAACACAGTTCTAACCTTGGAATCGTTTGTTTTTTGAGTGGAGCAACACGAGACTTGGAACACAACAATCGATTTATTAGTCGACCATCCATTAGTTTCGCTCGAACGTAGACTGCGGCTCCGTATGCCTTTTGTGAAGCATCACAAAATACGTGCAATTGTATTGATTCAAGTGCTGGCATCAGTTTTCCGAATATATGACGATCTATTTTAAATTGATCTAGTACTTGTAGATCGTCATAAAAGGTAGTCCACCTAGTGTATATTTCGGCTGGTACTGCTTCGTCCCATGTTAATTGTAGTTGCCATAGGTCCTGAATTAGTATTTTTGCTGTTACGAGTACTGGACCTAGTAACCCCAATGGGTCGAAAATTTTGGCTAGGTTCGAAGTAATGGTTCTTTTAGTAATGATTTTTAATGGATCCAGTTTTAATTTTATGCGAAATTGATCTTCTTTTGGTTGCCAAGTCAATCCTAATGTTTTGATTGATGTTGCGTCGTCACTTTGAAAGTCCAAATCAACTTCTTGATCTTCTTTTGCAATATTTTGAAGAAGTGACGGATGGTTGGCACACCATTTACGTAGCTTGAATCCTGCTGATTCCAACAAACCTTTTAACTGAGTTTGTATATCTTTGGCAGTTTGGAGACTATTTGATTCACTTAGGCAATCATCTACGTAGAAGTCATTACTTAGTGCTGCTGCACCTAGTGGATATTT